GGGGAGACCTTGACTGGACGATCCAAAATGTATTTTCAGGCCCATTTGTTTTGGACTTAGAGTCTGGGTTCTTGTTCATGTTCTATTTGTGTCTTGCTCAGCTGTGAATAGTGTGATGAACTGGATGCATCACCCTAAGTTCCCAAATGGCCCCAGTGGACCATTTGCACAGGAAGCAAGAAGGTGAACAGGGAGGGTTTCTGCATGAGATTGCTTTGCTTCTGTGTTTCCACAGTAAGAAACAATTTTGAAAACACATAAGCTAGAACATTTCAAAGGGAATGTCTACATCGGATGTTTCTGAGTGTTGTAAGATTGGATGGCCAGCATCTTTTCTTGTCTCCAGGCATTTATCTGCAAAAGCTATACAGATATAGATGCAGATATTGACACAGATATACATCTGGTTATAGACTGTGTTATCTGGGGATGTCTCAGAGCAGATGGAGATCCATCTGTTGGAGAAGACTCAGGAGAAGTCCAGCTAGAGTCAAGGGTGGGGGCAGATTAAGGGACCTGAACCCCATAAAAGCACACAAAGGGGTGCTCTTAAGAGTTCAGAGCTGGGGTGCCATTTCTGATCAGAAGTGACTGAGTTAGACCTCAATACAGGGTTCTTGACTCTTATAAGTGACTTGCGTCTGGAACCAGCCAAATCTATCTCACTGTTGGATGGCAGTTGAGAAATTACCCTTTTAAAAATTAGAGCTATGGTGGAATACCTGGCAGGGTCCCTCTTAGATGCACATTTCTGGATTTGGAGGCTAAAGTGGCCTGCGTGTATATTAGGTCTTAACTTGGGAGGTGCCTCCAGCTTTGCTGGACGACTTGGGACCAAGGAAGTTAACAACTGGACCCTTTTTCTGGGTTGCTGGGCTGGGGAATGGAAGATGAGCAGCCCGTGATTCTACTGCTGACACTTGCCTGCTCTCTGCTACTTCCCAGGAAAGCGTGGACTTGAGAGGTCAGTATGGTGGGTACTAAGCAGCATTTATTCATTTATGGCTTGGCTCAATGCTTGACTTTGATAACTTCGGATGTTATTCAATTTACCCTAAAAGAGGAAAAAAAAAACCAACTGCTCTTTTACTGATTGAATATGGAAAGACAGGAGTAGGCTGTCCTGGTTTGATCGGGTAGGAGGAGTAGTGTCTGGCTATAATGATGGTCTGATTTTGCTGGTCAGCTGTTTGGTTATCGCATAGTCCTAATTTTTTAAAACAAATTCATTCTAGGCAGTTCCAATTAAATTCATGCTGTCAAGTTGCTCGAAACTGTTTGGGATGTGTGTGTGTGTGTGTGTGTGTGTGTGTGTTTAAAACTCCCAGCATGAGAACAATTATTCAAACTATTTCTCTGCCGTTAAAACCTCTTAAAATGTTTCTTTTCATTTTTTTAAATAGGTAATTTATAGACTTGTTTTGAAATCATAGTCAAACATTGCCATAATTTTCTTGTCTATTTTTCCATATAGTTAACGAGCAATTATGCATATTACCCTGTTTTGCAAAATGATAGCATACATAGATACTGATTTAAGTCTCCTGCTTCTCATTTAGCCTATCAGTATGTAAAGAATTGCCTCATGGATTTCAAGGCTGACAGAAATTCCATGGAATGACAGTAATCCATAACTTATTTAATCAGTCTCCTATTGATGGCAATATGTGTTTCTAATATTTTCCTATTTTAACCAAATGCTCTGATGCTTCATTGAATAATATGGCATATATATCATTCAACACACAGACGTTGAACCTTAGGATAAATGCACAGAAGTATAATTGCTGGGTCATATGGAATATTCATTTGTAATTTTATCATTTGGGGGCTAGGTAATTTTGCTTGATATTGCCAAACTGACCCTCATATCTTTATACCTATTTATAGTCCAGCAGAGTGTGAGAAAGCCTATTTTCCCAAAGCTTTGCCAGCTCTGTATATTATCACATTTGGATTTTGCTATTTCAAAGTGGGATACTTTGATTTGGATCTTTTTAATATGGATTCATTCAGTATGTTTTCATGTTTGAGAGTCCTTTGCATTCTTCTTTCTGTAACTTCCTGTTAAGTCTTTTGCCCATTTTCCAATTATTCTTAAGGAAGGATAACTGAAGGTTCTGGTTTTTAACTTACCTGCACATCCTCCAGGGAAGCGCTTCATGGAATGAGCTAATAATTTTACTCTGAACTATTAGACTTGGTTAGGCTTCCTCCCAAACAAATATGAACATTAACCACAGCACTGTCTTTCAGAGCTTACTCTGTAATCGCTCTTAGCTTTATGCATTTTGTCTAATTTTTTTTAAGATTTATTTATTTATCTATACAAGCACTGGGTACAGTCAGAAGCGCGGGAGGGTAAGAGAATTCACCACAGCCAGAGCGGGAGCAGAACAGGCAGAGTGACGAAGTACACTGCTGAGGGGAGCAGCGGGCGGCAGGAGAGGTCTGCGCGCCATGTGGGACCCTTGCCAGTGGCTGGGGATTGAACCGGCGCTGCAGAGGCTGCGGGCAGCTTCGCAGCCCAGCGCTCAACCGCTGTGCATCGGGGAGACCCACCTTGTCTCATTTTTAATCTCTCCACAACCCATCTTACTGATGAGTAAACTGAGGTGCAAAGAAGAGAAACATCTTCCCTACGTCACTCAACTAATTAATGGCATCCCAGAGTCAGATTGGTTTGGCCCAAATTCCATGCTCTAAAGCTGGGTTGGCAAACTTTTTTGGTGATGGGGTGAAGAGTAAATTTTTTTTTTTTTGCATAATCTCCTTTCTCTGTCATAACTACTCAAGCTTCATAGTAACAAAAAGCAGCCATTAAGCAATACATAAATGAAGGGGGTGGGGGAGAGGAGTGTGGCTGCTTTCCAAAGAAAATATTTAGAAGACAGTGTGCTGGCCAAATCTGGCCTGTGGGCTGTGGCTTGCCAACCCCTGCCCTAAGCCATTCACGACATTTCTGCCTCAGCTTCACAAGTAACAGTAGTGTGCTTTGTGCTTTCCAGGGCTCTCCAGAGAGTGCACTGAAGTCTCTGCACTGGAAAGGAAGTCTGGCCTGTAGCTGGAGGGGTGGGGGAGTCAGGGGTGTGCTAATAGCCACACCTACCCTGAAGGAGTTCCAGCCCCCTTTCCTGACTCTGGGAGAAGGAACAGAGTCCCTCTTGACTAGGGATGTAAGAATTCAGGCTATCTTAGAAAAATCATTTAAAAGTGCATAAAATTGCAAATAGTCCTACAGTGATGGGTAGTAGTAGTGATTTTTGCAAATTCAGTTGAAGGATGAAAAGAAAGTAGAGATGTCCCATTAGTGCTAATTTGTAAATTAATGTGAGTATAAGGCTTAAAGCAGAGTGATCAACTTTCCCAGGCAGATGGGGACAAGATGGTCACTCTATGGTAATAATAAAAAATAAGTTGAGTGCCTTGAAAGATGCGATAAGGGTAAATTATTAAAAAAATACTTTGCTGGGCCTCCCCAATGGTGCAGCGGTTGAGCGCTGGGTTGCGAAGCTGCCCGCAGCCTCTGCAGCGCCGGTTCTATCCCCGGCTGCTCCCCGGCCACTGGGCGAGGGTCCCACATGGCATGCAGACCTCTCCTGCCGCCCGCTGCTCCCCTCAGCAGTGTACTTCGGTCCTTCTGCCTGCTCTGCTCCCCACTCTGGCTCGGTGAATTCTCTCACCCTCCCGCGCTTCTGACTGTACCCAGTGCTTGTATAAATAAATAAATAAAATGTTTAAAAAAAAAAAAAATAAAAAAATACTTTGCTAATGGACAATATAACTAAGAAAGTTTAGAAAACTCTTGAAAATCTATAGGGGAAACCTAGAAGACATTGATCTATGTCTTTAAGTTCTTATTTTAATGTTACAGAAGCTACCGCTGGAATATGGCAGTGTAATTTAAACAAAAACTTTGTGTTTCAGTCAGTAACTCCTATCTGAGAAAAGGCTGTCAGTGAAGATTGGTTAGCAAATGTACATTTATGAGTTTAAGCTGCAGTGTTTATGCCTTGTTTTATGACTCTCCACTTGATCACTTCAATTAATTGACTAATTCCCAGTTAATAACTAAGTCAATCAGAAAAGCTTCTGTGTTTTCCAAAGGCCAATATTATCCTCAACCACCTCAATCTCTCTTAACTTTTTGGGATCTTAAAAATAATCCAGGCTGATACCCTCATGTCACAGATGAGGTTGCCCGGACTCCAAGAAAGGATGTCCTTGACCCTGACCCCATCATGGACCAGGGAACAAAATAAGGGCTTTTCCTACTGCTCCATTCTGGAGGGCTGTTCTCTGGGGCCCAGAAGAATACCATATAGATAAAATAATAAACTCCCAGAGATATTTACACCCTCACCTCTGGACCCTCTGAATATGCTATTTACATGGTAAGAGGGACTTTGCGGAGGTGATTAAGGTTAAGGCCCTCGAGATGGAGAGATTATCCCAGATTGTCTGGGTGAGCCAGTCTAATCACAAGCACCGTTATAAGGGAGAGAAGCAAAGGGGTGAGTCAGAGAGATATATCAACTTAAGAAGAGACAAGAGGGATTCAAAGCATGAGGGTTTGACCAGACCTTCCTGGCTTTAAAGATAGAAGAAGGAACGTCAGTGGCCCCTGGGAGTGTGCTCCACTGACAGCCAGCCAGAGGCAGGGCTTTCGGTTCTATAGCCTCAGGAAACTTTGTTCTGCCAACTGCCCAGATGACAGACTCATCTGTCGTGGAGTAGATGAGCAAGGGAATGAAGTCTTCCCTAGAGTCCCTCAAAAGGAGCATGGCCTTGTGTACACTTTGTTTTTAGGCCAGAGAGCCATGTTCAACTTCAGACCTATAGATTCTAAAGACAGTGAATACATGTTTTTTAAGCTTCTGTATGAGGTGACTTGTTGCAACAACAAAGAAAATGAATTCAAATGCAATGGTGACATATGTCTCCCTGTTCAGAATATTCTGGTGCATAGCAACTGATGTCATAGAAAAGATTCTAGAAGAGAGACCATGGAGCAAGGCACGGTTTAGAAGCTCTTGGGTGAAGGCAAATAGGTTATCAAGAAAGTGGCATCTGAAAAATCCAGGGGCTAAGTATAGGTAGAGCAACTTTCCTGCAAGGAAAATCACAATTGCTGCAGTGGCTCCTCCCCACTTCCCTGCCCGAGGAGGCACCGAGGGGCTGCAGGATTGGTAAGCCAGTGGAGTTGGTCAGGAGCTGAGATGGGTGTGATGTTACCCAGCACAGAAAACACTTAGCTAATTTACTCATTGTTTATTCAACCACAGTTCTGTTTTTTTATTCATTCAACAAATATTCATGGAGCACTGATTGCATACCAGGTTCTAAGTTTGGGGGACAAAGCGGGGAACAAAACAAAGCAGGTTTCTGCATTCCCGGGAGATAGATGAGCGGGGTAATTTCTGATATTGACTTAAATTGTGGAGAAAAGAATGATTTTCTGTGATGGGATAGTGGTAGGTGGTATGTCCTCTTTGAGGAGAGGAACTCATTTTAGCTGACGCCATGACAAGAAAAAGCAAGCTATGTGGTAGTTGAAGGACTCATGTTCCAGGCAGAAGAAAAAACAGGTGTAAAGGACCTGTGGTGGAATTTTTCTCCTGGTGTGGACATCAAGAGAAAAGTGCAGTGGAGCCTTGTTTTTCGCAATCTGGGTACAAGTTTCCAGAAAGGTTAATATATGGAGAATATATTCCATTATAGAAGCGATGATGGGAATGATTCAGTGCTTGTACTCAAGAGGTGGGGCCCAATTTTCCTTTTTTCTGTTTTCTAAAATGCATTCAGTAAACATGTTCTGCTTTCACAATAAAGGGGAAGTGAGGTTTTGAGCATCTGTATCTACAGTCAAAGAGAAATGAGTGAGTAAAAAAACCAGGCGAAGCCATTAGGTTTTGCTGGAAGGAAAGGATAGACCTGCAAGAGAGCCATTTCCTTAGAAAATAGGGCAAGAGGAGGAGGAGAGGCAGGGTCTCCTGCGTCCTGGCTTTGCAGTGACATGAAACAGAGAAATAGGTTGGGAAAAGGCATTGTGGTAAGCCAAGGGAGCTCCCGTTTTTCTGAACACACTGAGTTGAACACCCCACCCCACAGTGCCCTTCTTTTTCTTCAGAGGAACCACTGTCCCTGTGATCTTAGTAGGCATTACCTGTGATTTGCCTACTCACCTGCCTGCTGCTGCCCTGAGTTGCCAGGGGCCTGCAGAAGATGAAGGTGTTTGTGCTTCTCTCCCTCCTTGGCTACCTGGTGGCACCAAGTGGCACTTCTGTTATGGGGCGCTGCACAGTGGCTAAGAAACTCTATGAAGGAGGGCTGCATTATTTTGAGGGCTACAGGCTGGAAAACTGTGAGTAGACCCCTCTGTCCTCATCTCTTTTCCCTCCGCCCCTCGCCCACGTGGCCTCTGTGGAGTCACACACCACCTGTTCCTCCGTAGGGGTGTGCCTGGCTTATTTCGAGAGCAAGTTCAACCCCACTGCTGTCTACGACAACATGCATGGTGACTTCACTGGCTTCGGCCTCTTTCAGATCCGCAACAATGACTGGTGTGACCATGGCAAGAACCTGTGCCACATGTCATGCGCTGGTATGTCCTGCCCTCTGGGTCACGCTGGGCACTGGGGCCACTGTATTGCACTCAGGTCTGAGTTGACAAGAGTGGAGCAGGCTCTTCAGGACTGTCCTGTTGGAGTAGATCCAGGCTTGGAAGGAACACGAACAGGGTCCAGGAAGAGGAACTGCATATGATCCTCAAGCTGAGGGTATCAGGCGTGGAGCTCCTATCCTTAGGGTAGGCACTGTTGTCTCTTGCCCTTGGCCTGACTTGAATGGTAAGTCACAGGGGACAGCAACAGAGGAAGAAAGAGGTGGAAAGATGTGTTGGGGCAAAATTGGACTAAGTCAAGGATTTGGGGTTCTGTTTTATAGGCAACCAGGTGGCCCTGGGCCATGTTTTAAGGAAAAACAACTCAACTACGTTGGGGATAGGGGATATTGCAGTATGGGCAAGAAGGGAGGGTATTATGCAGACCCAGCTGGGAGACCTTGGCTTCCACATTCCAAGGAGGGAGTGGAAGGAGGAAGTGGAACGTGTAGACCTGTTGGTTCCTTAGGGGCACCACTTCCATGCTGCTCTCTCTGCCTGCATCAACTTCCCTCCCGTGACTCTCTCAACTCCTTTTCCTTCCCTGCTCCCTTACATGCCACTTGGGCCAATAACCCTTGCCAGACTCTTCAAGACTGAGTTAGGTGCTGCTACTCAGAGTTCCTACATCAGGCTGCTTCCCCCCATTATTCCAAGCATTCTTTGCATTACAATTGTCTAGATAATCTTTATCTGGCCTGCAGACTGTATGAAGACAGAGATTGATGATGTATCATGTTTGGCCTTCTATCTTCACCGCTTCGCTATTGCTCAGTACAGAATAGTCACCAAACATCCATTTGTAATGAAAATATTTTAAGAATTATGAAAAAGAAACAAGTCTAGTGAAAAATGACCACAACATAATACCTCCCAGTGCTGGCCAAGAAAAATCTCTGGGTAAATTTATTCTTGGAATCACATGGAAGTTTCTCTAATGTGAATGCCTGTACCTTTCCTGACCTCACTCTGCCTTAGCTGCCAGGTGGTGGTATGGTAGCATTCCACTTTATTTCCTCCACAGATTTACTGAATCCAGATTTAAAGAAGACCATTGAATGTGCCAAGAAAATTGTAAAAGGAAAAGATGGGATGGGAGCATGGTAAGTGGTACATTTTTATTTTCTTTTATTTTAAAGATTTATTTTATTTATTTATGCATATAAGAGCTGGGGTGTAGGCTAGAGGTGCAGGGGTATGGTGTGTGAGAGGATTCACCAGAGACAGAGTGGGGAGCAGAACAGGCAGACTGACTGAAATACACTGCCGAGGGGAGCAGCGGGTGAGAGAGGAGAGGTCTGCTGCGCCATGTGAGTAGCTCCCTGGCCAGGGATCTAACTTGGTGCTGCAGTGGCTGCCAATAGCTTTATCGTCTGCGTCTTAAACCCTTGCACCACCAGGGAGACCCCGGTAAGTGGTACATTTTTAAATAGGCTCTATTGGGCCTCCCTGGTGGCGCAAGGAGTTAAAACACAACCTATGAAGCTATCCGCAGCCTCTGCAGCGCAAGTTTGATCCTGCCAGGGAGCTACCCACATGGCGCAGCAGATCTCTCCTGACTCACCCACTGCTCCCCTCACAGTGTATTTCAGTAGATTAGCCTGTTCTGTTCCCCACTCTGTCTCTGGTGAATCTTCTCACCCCCCACACCTCTGGCCTGTACCCAATTCTTGTATGCATAAATAAATAAATCTTAAAAAAAATAGCCTCTTTTAATGACCTTTGCCCATTATGTTTCATCTTCATCTTGGTCTGCTGGTCCTCTGAGTCCCATACCAGTGGGGTCCTACTACCAAGTCAAGTAGCAGACACCATGAAGTTCTGCAACCTTGAAGCCACAGGAGGAAGGAAATAATTATCAGAAAAATTATCTTAAATTGAACCTCTTTTCTCCTTAAATTTTGTTTAGGGTTATTCAAGCTGAGCATCCTTGAAACAGTCTGTGTGTATCTATTTGTTTATTTCCTATAAATTCCTACTTTTCCTTTTGAATCTCCTGAACATTAATGAAATGACTCTCCAGAAAGCTTGTACCAATTTCTACTTATATTCAAAGTTTAGTAAAATGGTACTGCACTTGCCAGTTATAAAACTACCACCATTTGAAAAGTGAGTAACACTTTTGTCTAATGTTCTCTTGCTTTATATATAATCCCACTAGAGTGTTTCCCCCTGTGTTTGTTATGTATTCATATATTTTTGTGAGTTTTCTCTGTTACAGTTCTTTACTTGTTTTGTTTTATTTTTTTATTCAGTCATCATATCATATTGATTTGAAAGAACTCTGCATACATTATTAGCTGTCTTCACTATTTTTATATATTTGTTGCCAGAAAGTAACTGCAACTCTGGTTTCTTCTTTAAGAACATATTTGATTAGGAAAATCTAAAATTTAGAAGTGGTTGACCCTATGTTCTTTCATTCAACATTACATGTGTTTTTATTGGATATAGTTATAATATGTTCATTCTCATTGCTGTATGTTATATATTATCATTATATATTAATAGATATACCACAATTTATCCATTCTTCTATTAGTGGGTTTGGGTAGTTTTCAGTTTGGTTTTTTTTTTTTTTAGTGCTGCTATGGGAACATACTATGAGCAATTTTATTGTTCTTTGCAAAAAGGACAAATTTACCATATTCAGTACTTGTCGAACAGACAGATTTGTGACTTCTTCTTGTCTGTGTTCACTGTTACTTGGGTAATGGCTAGACCCCCTTCTTAAATGTCCCTCTGGACACAGTTTGGTATGGAAGTCTTTTAACTCAATTTTTAATTTGGAGATTTTTCTGATATGTGTATCTGGTTCTTTCTCATAGACGGAACAATTGGAGTCCCTGAAGACCCTCCATTTTTAGTGTGTGCTGCTGCCACCTTCATTTATACTATTTGTCATGGTGTTCACATCATCCAGTAGACACTCACCACTACTTTCCACCTCTCTCTGCCTTTTTCACCCTTGCCTGCCTCACAAGTCACAATTGACTAGTCGGTTGATTCTGGCCATTGTAGTATCCAGCTAGATCTAGAATCACGTATTTTCTCAGTTCCAGGTTGAACATCTTAATGTTCTTAACATTAGGTTTATTTTGCCCAAAAGTTAATAAATCACTGATTTGCATGTTAAATAGAAGATATCTCACAATAGAGGAAATCCTTTAATGATTTTCTTGACTATTTCAGTCAAGTAGCAATGTAGATTTTTTGTTTACAGAAACATCATCATTTAATCCTCACAAATCCCTCTGCAGTGAGTATTCTTATCCCTATTTTTAAAACAGGAAACAGAGGTGTAGATAGGGAGAATAATTTACCAGGGAACACAGCACTGGAATTGACCCTGGTTCCAGGATAGTCCCAGCCTCAACTCTCACCAAGCTACTCAGCAGGTGGGGATGCAGGCAAGGGTCACCCAGAAAGCAACAGAGAAGGTGACCAAAAGATGCTGTTGGTTCTCCTGTGGGGGCTGACACAGGGCTTCCAAGCAGGGTCCGTCGGTGGGGGAGGGAAGACCTGCAGGAGGACTTATCTGTGGGAGACTCAGCACATTCCTGCCATCACCCATAGCCCTGTAGGCAGTGAGATCCCATCCAGAATCTGCAATGTGGGTATGTGCCTCTCAGGTCAGAGCTTTTTTGTCTGTTTCTGTATCTTTGGGAGCTCAGTCCTACCAGAGATTTTTCTCTCTCTACTGGAGCATCTATTCTATTCTTGGCAAATAAAAAGTGCCCCCTGCATGTTGAAAGACATTCTGGGGCCATTACCTAGAAGTCATTTAAAATCTTTTTAATTTTTTAATTCATTATTTCCAAAAATAAAACGTCTGCATTTAAAATACAAAACATAGGTGCTTGAAAGTGAAAAGATAAAAAATAAGCTTATTAGCAGTCTTCTGGATATCATTATGTTAATATATCTTATAAACTATAGAGAAATAGACACACATATTTTTAAGTACACATGGAATCCCTAGTACACTCTGATCTGTTCCTTCCTTTTTTCACTTATTAATAGAACTTGCAAATCTTGGCACATCATCCCCTAGAGTTCCTGTGGCAGCTGTAGTGGCTGCTTTGTACCTTGCTACATGGACGCAACCAGCAATTTTCTGCCTGGCCCTTCTGATGAATACTTAGGTTCCCATTTTTATTGCTGCTGCTGGTATTTCAAACAATTCTCTGATGAGCATCTTGCTCTTTGAACTTACATGTTCTTTCAAGTGTGTCCTTAGGAAAACCTCTTGCAGAGGATTTGCTGGATCTACTAATTGCATTCAAATTAGAGAGATGTAGTTCAACTTGCCTACTCATGGGGAGGGAGCCCCTTCAGCCACGCTTATGAGGGGGTCTGTGTTTCTCCAACTCACCAGCCTGGACCATTAAAATTTGTGTGGTTCCTGGAAATTGAAATTTGCAAAGTAATACCATTCTTCCATTCTTTGCATTTTTAAACTACAAAGGAAGTTGAGCATCTTTGCATGACTTTGTTGTGAACTGCTTATTCATAGTCTTAGCCAAGTTTTCTATTGGAATGATAACACTCTTTTTTTAATTACTGATTTTATATATGCCCTTTATATATTAGAGTGCTTAGATCACTGTCCATCAGATCTATGCTAACTACTCTTTTCATGTTTGTTATTTGTATTTTGACTTTGTTTTGTAGTATTTTTTTTTTTAAGATTTATTTATACAAGAACCGGGGTACAGGCCAGATGCGAGGCAGGGTGAAAGGATTCACCAGAGACAGAGCAGGGAACAGAACAGGCAGACTGACGAAATACACTGCTGAGGGGAGCAGCGGGCAAGACAGGAGAGATCTGCTTCGCCACGTGGGATTCTCTCCGGCCGGCCTGGATTGAACCCACGCTTCAGAGGCTGTAGACAGCTTCACAGTGTGGTGCTCAACCGCCTACGCCACCAGAGAGGCCCTGTTTTGTAGTATTTTCATCAAGCAGGAATTTTATATTTTCAGAGAATGAAATTCTTCAATCTTTTGTGACTACTAAGTTTATATAAAATGTCCTTGTTCATTTGTAAAGAAGTTAAACCCTTTTCTCCTCTATATTAGAATGGTGCTTAGTCCAAATAAAGTCCTATAGTAAAATTTCATTAAAATACTAGAAATTAGTTTGTAGGGATTCATTTTCTTTGTGCTTATATTTTTGATCTTCTTGGAATTTGTTTTGGTATGAAGTTAGATAGAGACCCACTTTATGTTTTTTTCAAGTGGCTTGTCAGTGGTTTCAACACCACTTACTCATCAACCCATTCTCCTTACTAATTGAACAGATTGCATTTTAAAGTAGGAGTCCTCTTATTAATGCTAACTGTCTTCTGAGTATGTGAAATATCTTTCATACATTGTCCTAACTTTCCAATTAACTGGAAAGCTTGGCTGGCAATCAAGGATAAGCACTAATGAGCTGAAATCATCTTTATTGTATGAAATATGCTGGGCCAGGCTGATCAAGGTCTTCTCACTTACTCAGGGTCCCCAGTGATAGGAACGCTTATTAAGCTAATAAGCATCCATACCTTAGCTAAAGCTCAGATCATGTGACTGCATCATTGGGGCAGAGAGGAAGGAAAGAGACCAACACCCTTCTGTAGTGCCTGCAATGCAAAATATGAATGCATGTCTTTTTCTTGCTGCTCTGTAGCTATGAGGGGTAGGAGGCCACAGCCCTTCTTCAACTGTGGGACCCCCTACCTTAGAAGACCCATGGAGGCCTGCCTAGCTGAAGGTTGAGACAAACTAAAAGAGTGTATAGACTTGCTGCTGGCCTCATGATGCCCCGGCTTCTAGTTTGGGTTAGGAGGCCTGGGGTCCTGGGAAGGCCACAGGGGCTGGAAACAACTTAGAGAAACTCAACCCAGCTGTCTCGGCAGGGTTGATGTGCTAAAATTTGGGGAGGTGGGATGATAAACAGGTGCATGGAAAGGTGGAAAAAGCCCTGTCTAGGGGACAAGCCGTTCCCATTTCAGATCCAGGTTTCTGCCAAGTACTTAGCATATGACCCTGGGCAAGTCCCAGGGCTTGAAGCTCACTTCTAAGAAGTTAATAATAGTCATTACTTAGCTTGCAAGTCAGGGGGAGGATTTCACATTTTCCGTTCAGCCTCCTCCATCTTACAGTGTGGGATGTCGGAAAAGAAATGGAGGAAGGGATGGTAGGCAGAGGACGCAGGGAGCATCAGGTCAGGAGGTGGTGGTGAAAGCAAGAGAGAAAGAGTTGAGAGGCACAAAAGATTTGGGGAACATGCCTGCAGCAGGGGCCGCAGGCTCAAATGCTCCAAGAGCCCGCAGAGAATGTGGCTGTGAGCTCGTGGGGGCTCTGGAGTCTGGGGATCCCAGCTCTGACTGTCGGGAGCCCCTCCATTAACTCCCCCTGCCCTTCCCCTCTGCAGGCCCTCCTGGTCCTTGAACTGTCAGTACGCTGACACTCTGTCACGGTGGCTGGATGGATGCAAGCTGTAGCTGCAGGGCGGCCCTCCAAACTCTCCCCATCGCATCTGCTGATGAAGGTGCTTTTCTCTTTGCTGCCTTGACGCGATTCTGTTGATTATCTGACCGTTTCACAGCTCCAGATGGAAAAGAACCCAAATTTGCTTCATCCAGAGAAGCAGGGTGCAGAATAAACCAGCAAGTTATCCAACCTGGGTCACGGGTCTCCACTCGTATTCTTATATTGTGGTGGTTATTCTGATGACCGTGACCGTTACCATGGTTTATTATTTAATCTCAGAGGGAGGATTTGAAGATAGGAAGCTATCTGGAAAACAAGCTAGTTCACGAAAGTCAATATTAACTAGGGAAACGAGGAAGATATGTTGACACACACAAATCCAAGTGAGGAACCCACAAAATCCTCTGCATGTCTATGGAGAAGACCCAGAGACGGTTGCTCTTTTTACAAGGTTTTCAACATTATCAATAACACGTATTCACATTGGAGAAATTTTGAAAAACACAGAAACATAAAAGGGAGATGCCCTCCCAGGATGGGACGTTGGTTCCCAAGGACAACGACCATCACGCTGTGCTTGCCTTGCCTTTTGGTCTTTTTCTGTGTAAGTTCTTTTCCCTTTGTCAACAATGCTGTCAATAGTACTTTGTGCCTTTAAGAAAGAAAAAAAATCCCAGTAATAAACGTTTCCCCTACATATATTTTAATTTTAAGAGGTTTGTTTCCAAAGGTTAGTTCTCACGGATCTCGCACTGGATGGAGCGGGGCTGCCGGTAGAGCTAGCCAGGCACGGTCGCCAGGACACAGAAACAGAAGCCACAGCAGAGCCCTCAGCCTATCAGAAGCCAGGCCCTTAGAGGAGCCCCTGCCCCTCAGATAGTCCTTAACCTTTCAGCCCTTGTGTCGGAAGGAAAGAACTGGGTGCTGTCCAGGAAGGAGCCAGCTGCCTGCTCCACTTCACCACAGCGCAGCAGTCTCTCCCACAGCCTCAGGGCTGGTTAATATTGCATTGTACCGATGCACTGTTTGCTTTGATTTTCCCCTACTGTTAGATTTGTAGAAATTGCCATTTTAAAAAAGCTGTTGCAAAAAAAAAAAAAATGCTATAGTACCTGTTAGTGACTGTCCCTTTTTTTTTTCACATTTAAAATTGTACAAACTTGTGTTTAAGGAATAAAACATGGAGAGCACAGGGAGTCATAAAGAAGGAAATGACAAATATTCATCACCCCTTTCTCCACCTCCCCCATGCCCAGAACTGGAAGTTTTTGTCATCATTCTGTAGCCCTGTTGAGAGAATCCTGTGCTAGGATGGGCTGTGAATCTTTTCCTGTGTACCCTCCCCTACTTCAGTGTGTGTACATTTTGCCCCTTACATACATGGACCACTCCTGTGTATACAGCTTGGCATCTTGTCCTTTTCACTTGATATTTTGTGGTCTATATTTCTTGGTCTATGACAGGGGACATGGTACCATTATTTAGGACTACACAGTGTTCTCTTATGTGGACAAGCCACAGGGTGTACATGACCCTCTGCTGGCACTCTGCTCAGACTAGACACAAAGTGGAGGACATTAGGGAATCTTGCCACCATACACACAGCCAGGCCCTAAAGCGAGTCAGCTCTTTTTGTTTCAATCTTCCAGAAAGGAAAAGAATCATTGCAAGTCAGAATTTCAGGGGCAGAGCTGTCACTCAACCTCAGTGATGATCCATCATCTTCGTCAGTTGGGTTTGTGTGACTCCCTCCCACTTAGAGAAAAGGGTATTTGTGGTATGAATCATGCAGTACAATTCCTGCTGGTGGCCCACTTGCTGGTAAGGCCCATGAGACATTATGAGACCTCAATAGTAATTTCCTTATTGATCAAAGCCCAGGCTGTGACCCAGGGAGTGTTCAAGTGTGATAATGCACCTGACCGCCACCCGATCTTCACCCAGACATTAACGACAACCTGCAATTGATTAAAACACTATCTTCTCAAGTGTCAACTACAGCTTGCTGCCGCCTTCTTCCAGCCCATTACCTCTGCCAGGGCTCATCACTGTCCCCTAATGGCAACTTGTGTCAACATGGGCGTGAGGCTCGAGGACAAAGCAAATGTTACTGTATTGATTGGAACAGCCTCTCCAGGGTTTCCCAACATTAGCGCTGGGCTTGGTGCTCTCAAGTCCACTGATAATGGACATTGCATTGAGTATTCATTCCCGGGCCAGATCGCCTTGTCTGGTTTACAGAATGATCAAAGTTGAATAAAGAAATTCCAATAACAGCGACTCATGTTACTCTTACTTCTATCAGTAGCAACTACCATGTTAACTCCAATTTTACAATTACATGTAGGCCTTTACATACAATATTTTTAAAACTTACAAAGCCTTTTAAGGTAGGAATGAAATATAATGATGTCACAGGTAGAGAAGCTGGGGTTTGGAGGGGCTAAATAAATCGGCTTTACTCTAACCTGGTAAGTGTTGGAGATGGAATGTGTATCTCCCCAAACTACAGCTCCCCCATTAAGTCCCCTCTAACCCTGGTACTGTATCAGTATTGATTTTCCATTCCATGCATTAGCCAGAAAGTCAGGTCTTCAGGTCTTTAACTAAGACACTGCACTGAGGAGATTTCAAGTGACTCGCATAGAATGTTGGTTCCTTGTAGACACTGGACTGGGAAACTGAGGCCCTGAGAGATGCAGTAACTTACTTAACCACACAGAATAAGTCAATAGAGAAGGCAATGTGGTGACCACATTGCAGCAACAATCATGTTTTGTTTTTCTGCGGCTATACAGGAGTGATGAGTAGCTGTTTCTTGTTTTGATTCTTATCTGGGGCTGGAGGTGAGCAGGCAACCTCTACTTCTCACTGCACTTCCCTCTTCTTCCCTAAATGTTTCTTGCTCCTGGTATGTGCTGCTCCTGCATCCTCCTGTCCCTTCACTCACTAAGGTTTTTGGTTCCTGACTCGCTGTTTTTCTACCAGAGTCACCATTCTTGGTGGCCTCAGTATTTATGTAGACAAGTCACCAGCACCCTGACACAGGAACAGAAGGTCCTGGAGGTCACTGCCTGCAAAGACCTTGTCCTCCACCTCATTTCAATCACCAATTTCATGGCCATACCTTAGCTTTGTCACTACTAATAATTCCATCATCACCAAAATTTCAATTCTAAGTCCCTCATTCTTTGAGCATCATCTCATATCTGTCTACTGCATATATTTCCACTAATAGTTCTTTGCAACTGACTCCACTAGAACCTCCAAGGATCAATCTTACCACCTTGCACTGTCATCACCTTCCTCACATTCTCCTTCTCTCCGGTCCTGGCTAAGATTCCAGAGTCACCCTGGAAGCTCAAGGTCCTGGTTAAGATTCTTGATGTCACACATGCCCTCTCATCTCCCTTGCCCATTTCTCCTCTCTCTGATGTGCTCACCTGGCTATTCAACTGGGGGAAACCCAACTCCTCACCTTCTCTGCATTTGCACCAAGCACCTCTATGCTGCTTTGAGAAGTAGGGGAACAATTACAAAACCATGATGATTGGTATCGGTTTAAATTCTTGACAATTATTATCAAGTGGGCCTTTACATTTACAATCTTTTCACACTTTCTCTACTCCCTTTTAATATGTAACACTTCCTCCCTCAGCCACCCTCGGCTGATAATGTTGCTTCCTATTTCACCAAGGAAGTAGGAGCCATCAGATAAGACCATCTGTAGGCTCCTGCTTACCACATCTGCCCCCCACATGCTCCTCCTTCCCTTCTGTGTTAATGGGGGAGCTGTGATGCTTCAGGCTAGGTCCAGCCTCCCCCCTTGGATCCTGGACTCTATTTCCTCTTGCTTACCCTCAGACTGCAGGCAACAAGGGGTAAAGTAATACCACTTATTTCTTCTCTGTTTGACTATTACTATCATTATACAATAAAATCATATGGTAATAGGTAATAGTACCCATAAAAAAAGTCCTTCTTGTGGCCTCTCATTTCCTACCATTACCTCAAAAGATTCTTCAAGAGTATGCTAAGTTCCTTCTCTGCTCTTCCTACCTCCCATTCTCTCTTGCACCCAATTCATTGGAGACACATCTCTCATGCTTCCCAATGATCTCCATATTGTCAAATCTAACCATCAAGTCTCAGACCACATTTTGAAACTGAGAGATGATGTCTGAGGGTTTGTTACATTTTTTCTCTATTGTTGTATATGGCTTCAAATTTCCAAGATAAAAATGTAATGGGAGGAAAGAAATAGAGCAGCTAGAGGCCCAGAGAGTGGGCTGGGTGGCATAAGAGTGAATGACCAGAGGGCCTGGTGTGTAGGAGGGCACAAGGAGATGAAACCTGTGTCCCAGAGGCCCCAGTGTCCCCGGGCCCAGGTGCCACCTGTCAATCAGTCAGCACGCACAGCCCATTGGGCCCCAGTCAAGTGGGGCTGTCAGCCATCTGTGTTATGATGCCTGAGAAAAGGATGGAGCTTGTTGTGTTGAAAACATGGCTTTCCAGGGAGAGCTCTAGGGAAAAATGAGGTATTAGGAGGCTGATCCCAGCTGGCTCCCCCTGCCCCACTCCCCACCATGCTGTCAGCCTGTCTAGTCAGAAGTTGATGGGAAGACGTCCAGTAGGTAGGAGATCCCTCTATCTTCATACTCTCCTCTGCTGCTCAGAGGGAAGCGAGCAAAGATCCCCAGGTGGTTCCAAGGACAGGCAGAGGGGGTGGGAGGACCAGGGGGATTTCATGCTCATCAGGTTTAGCTCAAGACCACATCGCTTCCTCCCAAGAGAATTAAAAACATGTCCACACAAAAGCTCGTACCAGGATGTTCATAGCAGCATGATTAATATTCGTCACTCATAAATTCATAATGCATGTCATAGCTCAAGAGCAGAAACAACTCAAATGTCAAAAGAAAAAGAAACCCCTGCAAAGCCATGAGGAGGACGGAGGGCAGAGAGATATCCTAGAAATCCCAGACATCTGTTCACTCAACTCACTATGCCTTCAGGACCTGACAGGGCCCAAGACTCTAGCCCTCTCTCACCTGCTGATGGTGAGCTGTGGCCTGGCCAAGCTGCTTTTGTGCAGGGACAGCCAGAAACACCTGGCTCACCAGCAATTCCAGTTACTCCCTTTCCTACAGGCAGCTGAGCGCAAGGTATGAACCGCTTCTCAAAAGGAAAATAGCAATTTCTAGAAGAGGTCACGGCTTTGCTTCAAAAGCATAGGGCACTTAGCTGTGACTCTTCTGGACTTTCCAGATGCTCCATGGAACTAGTTACAGGCAAAGCTGGTGGGAGAGCGAAAGGTGCAGAGGCCAGTGGTCTCTCACTTGACCATCAAAGCCCCAGATAGGAACGCTGACGCCAGGACATCTGGAGCTTTTTGGAAACTGCTGCCAAGTTCTGCATCTTGAGTGGGGCAAGGGGCAGGGAGGACAGAGGCTGCTGCCTGAACGCTGGCCTGTGTAGATGGCTACGCAGTTTCTATCTGAGGGAGGAGAAGATCTATCACGGTTCTGCCTTAACCTCTG